TTTAGGGTTTTGGCTCGAGGGGGTTGAAATTATGTCAGCTTAGTGTCAGTTTCGAAGTGTGGAATGCATTGGCGACCAACGTCGCATCATCGCACCCGTTGTTTTTGTTGAGTTTTGAGTCTGGGCGTGACCCCAAACTTCGCTTGGAACCCTTCTTCTCCTTTCCCCGGAATGTATATAGTTATATATATATATATATATATCTGTAATTGCTATTCATTTATTTACAGATACCCTGAACTCGTCAGCCTTATGCCCGGGAGGCTGCCAAGACAGTTTCCACGAGGTTTGGCAAGATCAAGGCTTTCAGAAAGATTTGCTTCAAGAGACCCACGCAATAAAACTCTCAGGAACGCAAGGCGCGTGAAGCTAAACCCTAAACCCTATACCCTTATAAACCCTAAAGTACGATACCAGGATTCCCCGAAGCCTGGCCCCAGCAGAGGCACGCTCCTGAACCTCTTGGAAGGCAACAGGCGATAAGCAACCGAAAGGCCTTAACCCCAAGTCTGGTACCCGAGGAACAGATGGGAGTTTCCGAAAATATTGGGGGGGGGACCTTATTTTGGGGTCCTTATAATAAGGATCCTATTATTTGGGGGTACTATATTAGGGTTCCCTATTCTCGGAAACCCCCAGATGACAAAAAGAAACCCAGACTCTAAACCCAGAGTCCTACATGCGAATACAGACACCTGATGAGTTCCTCATATCTTGCTCTTTAGTTGCAGGCCCACAGAGTGTAGTATGGTAAGATATGCACCAAAACTGGATTATTCCAATTTACCAAGCCCCCCTTTTTCTTCTCCCTTACATCCCGAGACGCACTGTTCCTCCGGCTTCTTCGGTGTTTCTGGCAGGCAGCCCTTCAAGCCCTGGTAAAAATTTTTGAGGTGCCTCCAGTGACAACCCTAGGTTTAGGGTTTAGGGTTTAGGGTTTAGATCTGCAAGCCAAAAACCCATCTAAGAACACTTAGCCCTTAGGGCTTAGGGCTAGACCCAGGACGAACAAGATACTTGCCTCGAAGATTTGGGCATTCCAGGCCTCCGACTGGAGGCCCCGTTGGACAAGAACGCTAAAGGATTGGATTTGGGGTTTGGAGTTTAGTGCAGGCTCTGGAAGCAAACAATATCCGTCATGGTACATATAGATTATAGTATAACCTACTCCGGAACCATAGTCTAGTGATCAAAGACCCTGTATGAGCAGGAGTTTATAGCATGCTTCTTCACCTAGCTTCTGTGTTAGAATCCACACTGCTCGATTCCATGGGTTTGGAGGCCTGATGTTGCTAAGCCTGGAGGTACGGTTCCTCCGGCTTTAGGAAAAGCCGAGTTCGCGGAATCCTTGTACCTTGGCTTCGGGTCTTCGGGTGCCTGACCATCTTGGATGTGTTTACTGCTATGTAATATATTACTGCATCATCTTCTACTAACTCACAGGTTTTTATACTTGTAGACCATATGTCATAGACTCCGGAGTTCAGTTGGTCGGAGCTCAAAGCCCCCCGACCGCCCGCCTGCGTGTCTAGCGTTTGTTGAACTCGCTCGCACAGGCGACTCGGTTTAGGGTTTAGGGTTTCTGTCTCTGCGGCGGGCTGGGGGCGGGTGTGGGAGGGAGCGGTGCAATCAAAGGTCCAGAGCCTTCTGCCAACGGTTTTTGAAGAGCGACACAAGTTGTAGGCTTGAAAAAAATTTTCTCGCCATGTAGGAGCCTGTGTATTCAAATCAATTGAGGATGTCGATGTGGGCACAGGTGTGTTCCTGCGGGTCTCCCCAACCCCTTTTAGAGCAGCAGGTTTTCCCATTCTTAAGAGTGCGGGTGGCAATGACATCAGCAGGTGCTGCAGTCCCGCAAGCAGTACGCAGAATGCGCAGCCATCGCACTTGAGATGCGCGACTGGGACAAGGCGAGAAGCTCAGGGAGCTCACGTACCTTTAGGCTTCTAGGGTTCGGGTCTCGGTTACCTACAATCCCCACAAAATCTATACCGTTCCGATACCGCTCCGAGCACCGAATGTTTGCTCTAATTTTTGGGGCCATGGTTCATGGCCACCCAAATCTGAAACAATGGACACTGGAGCCCAAGCTCCTCTTTGGATAGAGACCCAAAGCCTTTCTATACATGCAAGACTCCGAGGCAATGCATGGCTCAAGACGTGAAATATCTCGGAGCAGCTGAGTCGGTAAAACCTGCACCTTCCGGCCCTTCTCCGGGATGTGGGCCGAGGTTGAAGGTTTCATGAGGCTTCAGGGTGTCCGGCTTAGGGTTTACACGCGGCTTAGAGCTTCAGCGGTTCAGGATTGTTGGGTTGAGGGTTTGCGCTTAGGGCTTAGGGTTTTGAAGACTGGCAGGAGTGCCAGCATGAGATTCAAGCCTAAACCCAAGGCCTTCCGAGGAAGAAAGGACTGAAGCAGAAAACTGACTCGTAAAGAGGCGGATTGCAACGAGCGAAGAGAGACCTGTGAGACTGGGCCTCGGCAGGTTCAAGGTGAGCTTGCTCCTGAGCATGCTTTGTTTCTTCATGGCTTCGGGCCCTTCGGAAAGATGTCCTGTTTCCCTTGCAGCATATACAGCCCTACAGCACCCTTCAAAGAAGCACTCATGTTTCAAAACCTGGTTGAGATCTGGCCTCCAGTGCTTGCCAGGCACGTGGATTCTACAGCAACTTGGAGCGGCTAAAGGATCTTCCGACCACAAACACACAAACAGCTGTCGATATCATGTACTACCATGGCCTATTCTAATCTCCTCATGTTAAGACCTATCTGATGCTTCAGGGCTTCGCAGCTCGGATCTCGAGCTTATGGGATGAAAGTCCTACGAGACTGGAGTTTCAGATTCAAGCCAAGAGGAAGCCGCAACCCCGAAATCCAACAGCACACTAACCCGAGACCGACGGCTCTACCCCACAAGGTCATTTGCCCAAAGATCTTGGCAAACCCTAAACCCTACACCCTAAACACTTTTTGAAAACAAGAAAAAAAAGAAAACCTAGATCCTAAACCCTAAACCCTTGTTCAACCTTGAAGTCTACACCCAGGAAGCCCTAAAGTCAGAGCCTCTCGTCAGCGAAGCATCCACGCATCCCATAGCTAACACGGGCAGGGGAAGCCTTGAATCTAGGACATTTTTCAGGTGGGCAGTTTCCGTTATAGGAACCTTCTAGAAAGTCTATATACCTTGTAGAAG